CAAAGAATAAAGAAAAATATTTCTAGTTTATTCTTTCTGAATGAGGAAGTAATCATTCATAACAAGAATTTTTTCTTCTTACTAAATTTTAAAATATTCTGAAAATTCCAACAACGAAATTTAATTTTAACAGATATTTACATGTTTTAAAATAGTGACTAATGTAACAACAGAACGAAAAAATGGATGTTTGCAACGTTGCTGATTGTTTTTATTTCTGAGAATCAACATAGTTTCTTCCAACTAATTTCGTTCTTGTTGTTCACTTAAGATTTAAGCATGAATACTGGGCTCCGTCGTTTTAAGCACCGTCATCATATTGATTTATATTGATCATATTGACATGTAACAAAGTTGGTATGGGAAAGACAGATTCAAGACCTTGAAAAAATAAATAAATCTGCTGACAACTTTGTTTCTAGACTATATTTAGTTTTCTAGAAATTCTGAAAACCGGATATTTTTTCATAATATCTACTTCGAGATTCTAAAATCTAAGAGATGTTTTGTTGATTATACCACATAGAAGATGATAGGCGTGGCGAGAATCAAACTGTCATCACAACTTTCTGTGAAACAAGCCAGACACCTGCTTAGTCTTCCCACATCTTTATTTTCGATCAAACAAGAAAGAAGGCGTCGGTACATTCAAATCAATTTCGATAAATTTAACTAAGTTTTGTAGATACAAGACGTTATCTTTGCATATGCATTTTAGTTGATTAAGATCATTATCTGAGAACGATGATTTCGGTAAACCAATAGTATAAAAATATGTCAACATTTCATTTGAATTTAAACTATGATTTAATGTTGACGTACGCTCTTCAATAACATATGGAAATTTTTTCAAAAATTTTCGCTATTTTTTAAGGGATTCTTTTATCCATTTTATTTGTTCTTCATTCTTTAATTCATTGAATAAGCACTCCTGTTTCACTTTTTTTCATATAATATACTTGGAGAGTATTATTGTAAAATTGATATAGTTTCTTCTAAGTTCAAAACACTACTCTCAACAAAATCTACATCATCGTCCATAAATGAGTTTTCAATCGTTGTTGCATAAATGAAATAGACTTCAGTAATTTTATTCGAAAAAAAATTGGAAAACTGCTGCATATCTCTATCATATTTATTATGTACCTAAAATCAGACTCCATTAACGAATCAGAACACAAAACGTTTATCAGTCTAGACCCTGCGGGCCTACATGTTCCGACATGAAGTGCGTGAACAGCAGAGTGTGGGCCATACATTAGTAAATAGTCATTCAGAGCGCAAAAAATAGCAAGAAAAACTCGAATTTCAATTCAATGTCCATTACATACCGCTAATGTATGGAACTCATTTCAGAACCATTAACTACTTTTTGGCTTCAAAAATTTCAACACAAACAGACGCGTTTGGTTATATTCCTATCTTTAAAAATAAATACGCTCGAAATCAGAAATACAAAAATCAAATTCGCTTCTGTTTCTTATTTCTTATTATTACTCGATTGTGACCCACGTTTTCTATCGGTTCGATTTAAAACAACCTGCGTACGAAATATTTTTTCATTTTGGTCTCATCACAGTGCGCAATGCGTTGTCACGGATGAAATGTATTCAGAAGATGTTGTACATTTTAAATCAGGTTTAAAATGTAACTATTTATTGAAACTATAAACTTTATTATCCAATATGATGAACATTGAATTCTTTTAAAATAGTACATACATTTAATGAAAGGATAAAATAGCAATATTCTTAAGAGGGAATATTCCTAGCTGTCCAACCCCGATTTCTTTCAGCCATACATCAATCGACAGCCTATATCGAGATAGTAAAAAGCCTAGAAGTATTCATCCCAGGGCTCTTGAAGATCCAGATTTCTGGAAAACCAGCTTTCAAAAGCTCTAAAAGACTAACTAAAGTGTTTCTTAATAAAGCATGACTCAGCCCAGAGATATCTGATTGAAATGAGATATCTCCCAGCTCTACACGACCTTTCATTACAAAGTTATAGAATTTACACAAAAAGCCCTAAATGTTCATTGTCAGCTCAAAGCTACAGAAAGAAGAAGGAAAAAACTAATTTAGGGCTTTTCTTGTAAATTCTATAACTTTGCAAAGAAAGGTCATGTAGAGTTGGGAGACGTCTTATTTTAATCAGAAATTCCCGGACTACGTGTATTATTAAGAAAGGTTTCAGTTATTTTTTTAGAATTTCTGAAAAACCGTTTTTTCGGATCTTCGCGAGCCCCGGGATGAATTTTGTTAGGCTTTTTACTATCTCGATATAGGCTATCGATTGATGAATGTTTGAAAGAAATCGGGATTGGACAGCTGGAAATTCCCTCATTAGTTAGTACCGGAGTCAAAAAGCGGTGCATTCGGATGTTTTTTGAATAACGTTTGATCGGAATGACCTGAACAAGTCTGGTTTTCACCATTTTGAAGTAAATTCATTGGGCTATCGAACGAATTAAAAACGATCTAAAAAGTACTAGTTTCAGATGGTGTACCTTCTCGGACAAAATATTCGGCACTACCACAGACAGGGTCTTAAATAAAAATTTTGTTCTAAATTTACACCTAGATAGAGCAACATCTGCTCTACAAAACTAAACAAGTCCGAGGTTTTCGAAAAAAGCTCAGAAACCTAGTGAAACCCTATAATAGGTAAAATAACGCATTTCTGCCTATTTTCATGTAAAATCAGAAAATTCATAACTCACTTGACCCAAACTATGTCAGAATATCTAGATATGCTCTCTTTTATCTGTAACATATCGTGGAACTCAAAAGAAAATTTCAAAAGCTATTTTCAAAAGGTTTTCTAGAAATCTTCCGAAGTAAGAGAATATTTTATACTATTCTCACCTGCAGAATCTCTTTAAGCAGATAAAATAGAGTATATCTTGATATTCTGACATAGTTTGGGTCAAATGAGTTATGAATTTTCTGATTTTACATGAAAATAGGCAGAAATGCGTTATTTTACCTAGTACAAGGTTTCACTAAGTTTCTGAGCTTTTTCGAAAACGAAGCATCGTCGCGAGAATCAGCATAGTTGAAAACCTATGCTTGCATATATTACGGAGGCTCCAAACCCTAAAACTGGTCGGTCCCCAGGTTGCTCAGGCGATCTCAGTTAAACTCCTATAACTACCAAACAGAAGAAGACAGAAGTCTCGGGCTTGTTTAGTTTTGTAGAGCAGATGTTGCCCTATCTAGGTGTAAATTTAGAACAAAATTTTTATTTAAGACCCTGTCTGTGGTAGTGCCGAATATTTTGTCCGAGAAGGTACACCATCTGAAACTAGTAGTTTTCAAATCATTTTTAATTCGTTCGATAGCCCAATGAATTTACTTCAAAATGCAGATCTCTCCAGCTCATTCTGATCAAACGTTATTCAAAAAACATCCGACTGCACTGTTTTTGACTCCGATAGTACAGTAGCTCTAATTAAGAATGCTTTATTTCGTTCTCTTTGGATTAGTTTTATACTACTGATCAAAAAAATGTGTCACTTAGTGTATGTTTTCATTTACCAATTAGGGCGAGTTTTATGTAAATAGAATAAATGTCAATTATATATCATGAAAATGTAGTTCATTGCTCAATGTTCTTAAAACAAGATAGAGAAACAGCCGGCCATAATTAGATTTGTTAATTTCTCTTTATACTGAGTTTTGGTTTGTTGTTGATTTTTATTGTTGATTATTAACAAATAATTTTTTCCATCAGGTAGAATTATGCAATGATCATTTGATAGACATACGAAATAAGAGTAAGAAATAGTTTTTTCTAATGAAATAGATTGAATAATAACATTCATATTTGATTGCTGACGTATTTCCAAAGTACAAGAATTATGCGATGTACCTTCATCTATTTCAACTAACATTACAACAAATGTTTCATTTATGAATCGAATACATCTTGGCCATATTTTATTTTCAAATATATTCAATCTTTTAGCAAGTTTCCAATCTCTTGTATCATATTCATCTATTGGAGATGTCCACATACAATAAGTAATAATTAATGTTTGTCTGAAACATGCACATCTACTAAAACCTGGATTTTTATCTAATCGAATTTGTCTAATGGGTGATACATCTAAATTAGATACATTAACTGTATAAAGATTGTTCTTCGTTACAATAATAAATGAATTTAATAACAACGACCAACATATATCATATATGTTACCATAGTTCCATTCAATGCTTTGTTTATGTCCACCTGCATAATCGATTAAACTTAATTTCTTCTCACCATCTTGATAAAGCAGATGTTTATCAGATGCTTCAATTCCTACATGAGCAGATTTATCGATTGGAATTTTTCTTTTTGGTTTATTATTTAATATTATATTAATTTGATTATATCTCGGTTTAATGACTTGAATCATTTGTGTCCAGTCAATTTGTCTGATTTCTAATTGAATATTTTCCCTTTCTGTCGACGATGATGATGAGGATGATGATGATGAACTTAATTGATGTATATCATTTTTAAGTTTCTCTAATTCTCTATTCCATTGTTCCAAATCTTGTTCAGTATAATTTCCATTTTCTCTTGTTCGACATAATTGCTTTGTTACATATTGAATTTGTACTTCTATTTCAGATTGTTTCTCATTTAAAAATGCATTAATTTCTTTTCGTATATTATTAGCTGTTTCTTTTATTTTCGCAATCATTTCTTGTTCCCATTGAGTAATATCATTTAAAAGTTTTGGTGAATTTGTTAAATCTCTTAATTCATTTTGTACTTCATTACGTTTATCACAAGTAACATCTAATTCATTTCTTAGGTGTTGACGGTGTTCTTCATAATGTTTTTGACAATATCTATGTTTACATCCATCACATACTAAAATAGCTCTCTCTATTTGGTTCGCGTTATTGCAGGTGTAACATATATTTGTATTCATTGTTGAATAATTGCTGGTCATTAATTTATCGAATTGATTGAACAATCTAGAAAAACAAGAGTAATGAAGATAAAACAGCTCATTTACTCTAGACTGTTCATGTGTGATTGATTATAATTTTCGCGTGTTGGTGAACAATAAAATAAGCTAGGGCTACTAGAACCAAGAAATATGTTTTTAACCTCCTCTGACGATATCTCGCTTAATATAGATCGAGTTTTTTCGAATAGTAAATACTTCAATTAAAGAAGAAAAAACTCAACTCTTCGTTTATGTTTAACTAGAGATGACTGATTAAGCTTCAATCTTAATGGAAGCCTGGTAATCCTCACAACTGCCACTATTTCAGTTTTTCACTCAATAAAGAGTTAAGATTATAAATACTTTCTAAGAACAAACTAAGTATGGGAAATACTTCAATGTCATGATATTTGATTAGAAGGTACTAAATAAATGAATGATCACTATTCAAGTATTCACAGTACATACGCAACATTTATAATCCCAACAGTTCGCTAAGAAAAAGTACAAATAGTGCCAGCTGTAAGGACATTGCAGTAAACGTCAGTTCAAACTTCCAAAGCTTGACTTCCTAGTTTCAACGTAGTCAGTTACCCCTGATGACAGTTTACTTGTTTTGTAAATATTGCTCTTGATCATTGAAGGATCTTGACCGCTGAACTGGGGTTGTTTCAGGACTCCCGGTTTGACCGTTATTTAGCTGGTAAAAACGGTCTGTTCGCGATGGCGTTTACGGACCGTTTTCTAAAGTAAACTATTTCTGGTAGTTATATCCAACTTTCTTTTATTTAATACAGCTGATATTATACTTAGTGCCAGTTTTAATGCTGATGGCTATTTAAACCTTTTGATCTACAAAACATATTATGCAAAGCTGTTTGCAATATTTTATTCAAAATTGATGAGTATTTCAGAAGTGGCCTTATTCTGAGAGTGATATAGGGACAGAAAAATAATATATTCGCAAGTTTTCAAAAACATAACCCTAGACAAAATCCTATGCACTTCTTATTTGTTTCCTACCAGGATCCTAATAATTTCCTGGCAAGATCTGAGATGTTAGGCTCCTGCCAGGATCAGTGTTTCTAATGATTAGTGGTCCCCGTGAGAGCAAAGTGGTCTTCCACTTTGTAAAAATGAAATCCACTCTGTTTTCCACTTTGAAAGTAAAAAAAACCACGTTGCGAACCACTTTGCTTTCTAAAATTTCCACTTTGTTTTCTTCTCTAGTTTTGCCACCACTTTGACGCCCCATGAACAAAGAACTACTGTCAGGATAGTGAAGTGACTGATTGACTGAATAAGATGGTGTAAATGACTAGACCTCTAGCATTCAGATAGAGATATATACATATATCCAAGAGATATCTCTGTTGACATTTGCTTCACATTTGCGTATTCTGTCTGTCTACGGAAAAGAGCAAAGATATTTTTACTATCTCAAAATTTGTGTGTAAGCATAAATATTTTTCTGAGTTTGGCGATTTCTTAAACACTTTGTACTTCTTTTGTAGAAATGAACCACCAGCTATGCTAAATTGTAATACTTCTGAGTTGTGTTTTCTTCATGATGTACGTTTTCGTTGTTTTTATGTGCCTGTAGATAACTGTTTGTATTACCGAATATGCTATTGCATATCAGCATAATTGATATACAGAAAAATCAGTAAATAAACAACAGTACGAAAAGAAAATGATATAAACTTAAGCAGCAGGCAGTTTACAAAGGCGAGATTAGAAAGTTCAAAAAAAAGGAGTTAACGTCGTTTGTAAACGCCTCTAAATGGGAACGGATGGAGAAATTTCATGAGAGATAGGAACACAGAAGCAATCCTATGAAATTCCTGTTCAAGAATTATATTTTCCTACTAAAATCCTACTAACGAGGAATGATCCCCAACTGAT